TCATGAAGGGTAGAACATGTGTTTACCTCCCTCACCCCCATTTTCTAAAGTTTAATTTGGCACCACTAAAGGCATGCGTATGCAAAATCTGAGACCAATTGGTTGTCGTATGTAAAAGTTATGCACGTTTTACTTTCAAAAACAGCATCTCAGGAAATAATTCGTGAGGGGACCCCCCTTTTACACCTTCAAGGTATAGACTACCTACTGCAAAAAAATTCAGGACTCTAGGACCATTCCCCTAGAAGTAGTTCAAAACGGCAGAAGTGGGTCCGGACGGACGGACGGACGGGCAAAACGCAAACAATAGCACAATTTTTTAATTCTTAAAAAATGCGCTAAAAATCCTTTAAGGAAGTTTATTGGAGAATTTGTAAATAATGGTGTGCAGTTCCATCGAAGATTACCGGTCCAATTACATGACATCTCATTATGCCATAAAACACTTTAATTTAAATTCTCACTTGATTTCGGCGTGAAATTACAACATGTAGGTTTTCCTGTGACGAGTAATGTTCATTATGTCGATTTGAACACTCCACAGTTAGAAAAATAAGACTCATCTGTCCATAATACTCGAACTGGTCGATATTCTTATGGATAAACCACCTACAAAATGTGACCTGGAACAATACATCAATGGTAATACCTTGTGTAAAATAAAGCGAAGTGTCTTGAAATTTGTTTAACGGGATAATGGCATGACATTTTTTCGAGGGGATAGTTTGTAGTTATACCACAATTTTGTAGGTATGTAAGTGTGGATATAATAAGATAATCAATATGTGATGTCATAAAAGTCAAAATTTTGGAGGGAGTTGTGACGCCCAAACCCCTCTCCAATGAGTGCGCCTCAAATATTTTAAACATCTGATGTAATTATTTTCATTGTTTTTGTTGTCTGGAATAGTTTTTGTTTTGTTTTTTTTAAATACATCACAGACTACTTGATTAAAATACGAGTTCAAATATAAAAACCGTTGATATAACTGATCTCTTATTTTCAATCTTATGCTATGGAGCCCGTTGAAAAGAGAATTAAAAAATCTACCAAGTAATCAAAAAATCCAATATGGCGCCTATTTAATTTTAGGAAGTTGGTAAATGTTCCTCAAAAGTAGCCATCTTGAATTTTTTTGAGTTCAATTCTAAATTAAGCGTAACAAAGACAGTAACTTTTATATAAAACTTTTTTTTATATCTCTTATACTTTCGATGATATAAGACATTCAGGGAAATGACCACTTTAAGTTTTTTTGAATTTACGTCGAACCCATGCGACATTTTGAATTTCCACAAGGCAATTTTAAATAAGCATCTAAAACTGCAAAACATTACCCATTTAATCAATTCTCTATCTTTAATATAAGCAAATTACCCATGCAATCCCACGCGATTTGGGACACACTGTATATTTCTTATCACAATCCTTACATTACATTGTATTTGGTATATATTCCCGATTTGTCTATGATTGATTTTTTCGGTTGTTGGTATTTTGCTGATGGTTGGATGGGATTTAGTTGTGAGGGTATTATTACGTTTGTTTAAGTGTGTTTGGATTTTGCTATGGAGGAATGGGTAAAATGGGATGGTGATGTATTTGTTGGGGGCTAAGAGGATATTTATTTGGTTTAAGTTTTTTTTATTTTAATTTTTGACATGATTGTATCGACATATTTGGTTGAGAAATTGTTGTTATTGGCTATTCGGTATATTGTATTTAGTTCACGTTTGTAGTTTTCATTTGAGAGGAGAGTATTCAGAAAATTAAGTGCCGAAAGATTTAATATGCGGAGACTGATAAGAATTATAATTTATAAGGTATATAAATAAAAGCGGTTGGTTTACGATATATATAATATGGTTATGTCGTGTTAGCGTTAGGTCTAAAAAGTTTATTTGTTTACAGTGTTTCATTTCAATTGTTAACTGTATGTTTGAAATGGCATTGATCTTTTTATGGAAAATTTTAAGTTCATCTATAGAGCCTGTCGAAAAGCAAATAATATCATCTAGTAGGCCGCTTATGGGAGTCCATTACCATTGGTAAACCGTCATCCATTATGTAACATTTGTCGTTAAACGTAACAAGTTACAAAAGCAATCGTAAACGATTAACAAAAAGCGCATTTCCACTTGCAATCATTTCCCATTTGTAAGATGCAACTTCTGTTAAAATCGTAAAAATCCGGCCACAAATATGAAAGATAGCGTTGCATATGTGCAATCCATTTTTGACGTGCTACTTCAATTTCAGTTTATAAGAAGAATCCTACCCTAAAATTTTAGAAGAATTATTTTAGGTACCAGGGCCGTTTTTAAGACAATAAATTGTTAATAGAAATTATCTGTGCCTATCGAATATCCTTTTTTCAATAATTTTTATTTGGTTTCAAAAATTCCAAAATAAAATCGAATACTACGAGTAAATAAGTAAGCAGTATAAAAATTAAACTATATTTACTTACACATAAAAAATTACAATTCAAACAAAATTAGGTTGATAAAAATCAACCCAATAGTTTTTTTTAAATAAATTTTTAAACTTTAACGTTTGCTTGTGCTACATTTGCTTTTATTTCAAGTGGCTATGTACCAAATTTCATTTAAATCCCCCCATAAATAAGAAAGTTGGCACTGCGCATGCGCAAAACGAAATTTTGAAACTGGCGTTAAATTTGGTGTTATTCCAAGTGGCTATGTATCAAGTTTCATTTAAATACCTTTATAAATAAGAAAGTTTGCAATTCGGTCTGTAAATGGTCGAGATGCGCAAAGGGCACTGTGAATGCTGATCGATTAGGCTCAACTTTTGGAATTGTGTTTCATATGGCTAAAGCTATGCGCATATTGAATTTCATGCAATTCGGTTCATAACTAACGGAGATGTCAAAAGGGCCTACTTTATTTTTTGGTCTACATTGCCAATTCACGAACTCCGATGTACAAATTTGATAAAGAATCCACCTGCAAAATTTCAT